ATATTATATTGTTATTATATTATATTATAATTGTATTCGTCTAATCATATACTCAGTTGCTGATATTATATTTATCAATAAATAAATATTACAACTTAAATTAATTGTACTAAGAGAAATGTTACTTTTTATAGAATACGACTTTATTCATGGAATTCACGACGAGGTGCTTTAGATGAAGGTAAACCATTGGAGATTCGTTATTTATATACAATTAGTGCATTAACATGGAGTCCAGATGGTTCAACAATTGCTTTGGTTTGTTCCGTTCGCATTATCTTCAAACTTTTTCTTTTTTTTTTTGATAATAGATGATCAATTTAACATGTAAAAATGAGCTTCATAAAGCATTTACCAATAATTCAACTTATGCTACATTGATTAAAATGCATGCAATATAAAGGGTCAATATATGTTTTAATGAAGATAATAAACATTTATTGTTAACATTACAGGGTACATTATGTGGTGCAGTGATAACTATAGATTGCTGTCTTAAAAATTCCATTTTGAAAGGACGTTTCCAAACAAAATATATTTCTCCATCACAGGTTCTTATCAAAGATATAACTAGTGAACAACGTGTTACAATTCATTCTTCTAAAGGATTGCCTATTAATGAAATTAAAGTAAGCTTTTTGTCTCGTTTTTATATTTCTTTTCCTTTTTATAAATGATAATTTGAGATATAACAGCATCATATTAGACAATTTAATATTTATCGTATGTTTTAATATAGACTTTTTTTATTATTATTGATTAATTGTCTTCATTATTATCACAATTTTCCTTTTAATATTATTTGTAGGTTATGAACTCATGCTGAATGTTTAATTATTGTTAAGGCTTAGTTTTAATTGCGATAGTTTAATTAGATAATGGGACATGATCGATTTGTGGTGGCTTATACAACGAATACCTTGATGATTGCTGATATGAGCACCAGTTATTGCAGTGAAATTGAATGGCAAAGTGCTGGTAATGAAAGATTCTATTTTGATAACGAAAATGTCTGCATGATAATTAATGCTGGAGAGGTATGTATGTATATCTAAACGTTTAGTAATATTTCGGATTTTAAATGCATGCATTACATGCATCTTCAACAGCAGCAATTTTATGAATTTTATGGATCAAATTTTGTAGGATTATTTGAATATTGAATTTTAAACAGTAGTCTTTCAATATTAGATATTAATTATATAAACTTTAAATGATTGTTAAATCAGTACAAATATGATTGCCATTTTTGACATATTTCAGTTAAATGAAATATTAACATTTAATATTTATATAATCACATAATTCAATACTTATTAACAGGTAAGTTTGGTCGAGTATGGAAATAATGCGGTAATTGGATGGATTCGAACAGAACTCATATCACCGCATCTTATCTCAGTACGACTTATAGAACAGAAAATGAATAATATTGGTACTATAAAACGTGTTGCTTATCTTCTCGACCTGAATACTATTTCAGTGGGTATGTGGTTAACTAGTTTTACTGGGAAATTATTTCAGGATATATCTTATCATTCGTTTTTCGATATTCCATATTCGTCCGTGAAATGTTACAAAGCTAGTTTACTTTCGTAATTATTCGATCTTTTAATCTTTTGCACAACTCATATGGATTATACTTTACTTCAACTTTTTTCGTAATTCTTTGAATATCAATTAAATAATTGTTAGTGATATGTATCGATTATTTGCCATAAAATTAAGGATAATGACCGTATTTAGATTTGTTTGATCAGAAAGTTATAGTTTTAATTGTAAAAACATTAATTTAGGATCAAATTTTTAATCTAATGGTACTTATTATGATCAATTAAAATTATCTTCCCTTTTTTCCTAATCTTAAAACTGCTTTTTTATAGTTGATTTAATAACACAACGACAAATTGCACAGTTTTCACATCCAGTATACATAGATTGGCTTGAGGTTTATTTGTTCTTTCATTTTATTACTAAATTAAATGAGGATATTGATTATATTCTAATATACTTTGTAATGCTGTTTATTATCCTACGAGATGATTTGATAATTAATTTAATCATTAGGCAATTTTTGTCAACATTCATCATATCATCTTGTTAATCAAGTTTATTTGTCATCACCATCACTAATCATTTCATCACATTAATTAAATCTAATCATCAAGTATGGATATATAATCATATATAAATGAGAGAGTAATCTTTGCTTAAAATAGAATATGATAAATGAAATGATTAAATCATACATATTAATGCAAATAAATTTGTTAATTTTTTTAGCTTAGTGAAATGGCAACGAAATTATTATTTCGTGACAAAAGATCCCGATTACTATTAGCTGATCTAAAAACTGATCGAAAGATATCATTATTGGATTATTGTAGTTATGTTCAATGGGTACCAAACAGTGATGTTATTGTGGCACAATCGAGTAATCAACTTTGTATTTGGTATCAAGCTGAAAATCCTGATGAAGTAAATTACCTTTTTTATTTCACACTTATTTCTTGTCTCTAAAACACTTATTTTCATTTTATTGCTGTTACACGAGCAATGAATTTAAAATAAAACAAGAAGAAAAAAAGTAGTTCTTATTTTGCAGATGGTAATGGTACCTATAAAAGGTGAAATTGAAACTGTTCTACGTGATGAGTCTAGAACTGAAGTTATCGTTGAGGTTATCATTACTGTTATCATTATTATTTTCTTTATGAAATGGATGATAATAAAGAAGGCGAGAAAATAAAATTTATGGAGATGAAACAGCCTTAATGAAAACTTTTTGTTTTCAGTTATTTTAAGATGAAAAAGATAAAAGACTTGCATTCAATAAATATCTAAATTACAATTGGAAACAAGCAATCATATTTCCTCTATATGTTGTTTGAATTCTAAGAATGCTAGACGTAAAAAAGGATTTAAGATTGTTTTTTCTCTTTTTTTTTTTGTAAACTTTTTAGGAAAAAGAAACAGTATCAGAAAGCATTTATTAGATCAATTTTAGCTTACATTAGCAGTAAACACAAATAAATTAGTAAATAAAAATGTTTAGGGTTTTATTTAAAATATATTGCGATCATAATATTAATAAAATTATAAATTTAAATTCTTCATTTTAAATGATAAAATGAAATTTCGCATGAAAATGCGCTCTCATTCACACTAATTTCTAACTGGTTGAAATTTGGCTACCTCAAGAATGGTAAAGATGTTAATCACTTAATAAGTAATTAATCTCAATAAAGGTATGATAATTCTTAAATAAGAGATGAAATTGATGATTTATCGTACTACGTACTTTCATTACTTTTATTATTTTTTGTAAAAATTGTTAAAATTTACAGAACTTTTATTTTCATATCTTCAATATTGCCATATTTCTGATCACTTTTTTTTTTTTTAAAAGTAGAATTTATAGGAAGCAAACGAAAAAGTTGCTTACGAACTTGATCAAACACTTATCGAATTTGCTTCTGCTATTGATCGGCTTGATTTTGGTCGAGCAATTGATTTTCTGGAGAAACGAGAAGAATATGATACAACAGTATTATGGCGTCAACTTGCTCAGGTTTCTTATGATTACTTTTATCATCAAATAAGTAAATATTATAAGTTATAACATGTGATAGATAACATTGGACAATCTTCCTGTCAAATTTAATTCAAATTAAATTTTCTTTCAAATTTTCAACAAGGTTATTTTACGAAATCCAACCTATTACACTTGTAAATAGAAATTTGCGAATGGGTAATTCAGTGACAACTCAATTGAACAGTTCAAAATCATGTCGCCGAATAAAACAACACAATAATGTTGCAAATACTAGTTATCACAAAGGTTAGTGATATTATATCAAGTTTTTTCTTTTTCGTCAAACGGATTTAATAATTTGAAATATTT